GTGCATGCATAGATGTCCCTTTGTTGGACCCTCTCCCCCAGTGTTTTGCAGGGAATGGGCCAGTGGTTCTCTGGGGAGTGTGAAACCGCAGCTTCCTGGTGAAGTTGCCCAAATGACCACGCTTCTAATGTCTGGCCTCCCTTTTGCTCCTTTCCTGTTATGAATCACTAGCTCTTTACAACGCTATCGCTACTACAATGAAAGGGGTTGACAAAATGCCCAGGTATCCTACATCCATGACTGCATGTGTTTCCCAGCCAAAAGGAAGATAAAAATCTCTTTTAGAGTGAAGATCAAAGTTAATGCGCTGGAAGAAATTGATGATGCAACTTTCTTTTGTCTCTTGGCTCTCAGGGAATCTTAATTAATATGCTCATCACTTCTTTTCTGGGTGGCATTTCCATCAACCAGAAAGAGGGGGCATTCAGATGTAAGAGTGAGCTCTTGATTGCTTCCCACAGCAGTGGAGAGCGGCCCTTCTCCATCTGTGTCAATTCCTTTCTCTAGAGCAGTGGTTCTCAACCTTCTTAATGCAGCGACCCTTTAATACAGTTCCTCATGTTGTGGTGACCCCCAATTTCATTGTTACATATTGAACATAATTAAAGCATAGTGATTAAGCACAGAAACAATCTGTAATTATATATGTGTTTTCCGATGATCTTAGGCGACCCCTGTGAAAGGGTCGTTCGACCCCCAAAGGGTCACGACCCACAGATTGAGAACCGCTGCTCTAGAGGTTTAGGGGAATTTGTAGGGGTGTGGGGCGGTAATAGATTGACTTCTCAAATGTAAAATTCCTTCTCTACAGATAGATGTACATGACAGAGGTGGCATGAGATTATCAGAATAACAGCCCGAAATCTCACAAAGGGCATGTTGGGAAAGAAAGTGGCCCTGTGAATCGAAATTTATCCTCAGAGCACCTTTCTCTCACCCGATATGTTTGCAAAGGAAATCCCCCAAGTTCCAGAAGATTCGAGAGATTGGAAGAGCCTCAGGTTTTAGTCTGGTCCAGGATGACGTTTGGATAAAAATATATGGGTCTGGACTGGCTCCACTTTCTCCAGCCTCGAAGGCTGGATGTGGAGCTTCCCCAGGGGAAGCCAGGGGCCAGGCCTAGCCCATCCACTCCCACCCACGAGCATCTGGGCACTGTCTCCCCAATTTCTATCTTGTACTTCCACTCCCCTGACCATCGCATCAGTCTGCTGCAACTTTCCCTTATGCGGTTCCCTTCTTATCCCCCTCTGTTCCTAGTTCACTCTTCTCCCCACAGCCACTGCTTTCCTCTCATCCAGGATTTCTGAGCCCCTGCACTATGGGCATTTGGGGTCACATAATTATTGGTGAAGCGCCATCCTGTGCAATGTGGGATGTTTAGCAGCATTTGTAGCCCCTTCTACTACACGTCAGTAGCACCTTCGCCCCACCCCCACCCCACTCCCCACTTATGACAACCAGCAGTCTCCCCAGGCATTGTCAAAAGTCCCCTGGGAATGCCCCGTTGGGAATCACTGCTCCAGCCCTTTCCCCTTTCACTGGAAGCCCTTGTTAGTTAAGCTTTTGACCTCGTGGAAGACACTGGGTTAAATGTTTCATTTGTTTTATGTAGATGCTTCTCACATTTCAATACACATGATCATCTGGGGAGTGTCTTAAAGCACACTTTCTGATTCAGTCGTTTTGGGGGAGGGTTTGAGGTGTTGAGTTTCTCACAAGCTCCCAGGTTGTGTTGGGGCTGGTCCCACAGACCACACTTTGAGGAGCAAGGCTCTATGTCAGGGGTCCTCAAACTATGGCCAGCGGGCCACATGCAAATACAAATATTGTATTTGTTCCCGTTTTGTTTTTTTACTTCAAAATAAGATATGTGCAGTGTGCATAGGAATTTGTTCATAGTTTTTTTAAAACTATAGTCTGGCCCTCCAACGGTCTGAGGGACAGTGAACTGGCCCCCTGTTTAAAAAGTTTGAGGACCCCTGCTCTATGTCATTGTGTCCTTGTGGCCCAGGGAGGACTTGGTTTTACAGATGAGGAAGCTGAGACTCAGAGAGCTTGTAGGTGGCTCAGTCACACTTGGAACCCAGGTCTGCCAGCCTGCAGAGCTGGTCCTCATAACCAGCAATCACAGTTGATGTTGCGCCAAGGGCCTCGAGTTCTCTCCTCAGCCTCCCTTCCCACGTCATTGTGTTACGGTCAGCTCAGCAGAGCCTGAGACTCAGGCACGTGTTTGCCTGGAACATCCATGTTCTATTAATCCGTCCTTAGACAGAATAAGCTACTCCTGACGCCAGGTGGATATCCTGGAGCCTAGTGAGCTGTATCCATGACCTCATGCCTCTGTTCTGGCCTGCCCTGCGAACAGCTCATCCCTCCTGCCTAGCAGTAGACAGTCATCTAGGATTGCAGTCGCCCCCGAGGCTCGAGTCCCTCTCAGCTTCCTGATTTCACTATCTGTCTGGTCTTTCCAGCCCTCTTCTGCCTTCTTCTCATTTGTTGCCCCAACACTCTGACTTTGTCTTCTTCTTCTTTTGTTTTGTAAATATATTTTTATTGACTTCAGAGAGGAAGGGAGAGGGAGAGAGAGATAGAAACATTAATGATGAGAAACAAGCATTGATTGGCTGTCTCCTGCACGTCCCCTACTGCGACCGAACCCAGGCATATGCCCTGACTGGGAATCGAACTGTGACCTCCTGGTTCATAGGAACCATCTTTCCATAGTGGTTAGGGATTTTTACTAATGCCCTCAACCCTGAAGGGGAAAAAAAAGGTGTAATGTGGAGCCCCACCTACAACTAGAGGGCAAGACTCAGGTCCTCCCAGAGCAAAGCAAAGGACTCAAGCTTGGTCCTTGTAGAGGCAGCAGGAGCAGGCCAGGCTGCTGGCTGGGGACTGCAGATCTCTGTGTGTGATGGAGGGAAGGGTGCTAGTGCCAGAGAGACTGGGAAGAGTGTGCCAATGGGAGAGATTGGGCTGCTCCCCCCAGTGTCTGCCTTCTGCACTGAGCTGGAGAAAGTTATCCTGCCCCTCCCAGCACACCCTACTTCCTGTTTGTGCAGGAAGGTGATTTGGAGCAGGGCTCTGCAACCTCTCCCTATAAAGGGCCGGAGAGTAGATATTTCAGGCTTTGTGGGCCACACAGTCTCAGTCACAACTACTCCTCTGTGTCATTGAAGCACAACAGCAGCATAGACAAGTGAACACATGGGCATGAACTGTATTTATGAACACTGAAATTGGAATTTCACAAACTTTTCACGTCACAGAATATCATTCTTTTGATTTAAAAAAAAAGTATCTTAAAGTCTGAAGACCAGCACTGGCCAGTGTGGCTCAGTGTTTAGAGCATTGGGCCCGCATACCGAAGGATCTTGGGTCTAATTCACAGTCAAAGGCACATACCTGGGTTGCAGGTTTGATCCCTGCCCATTGAGACGTGTGCGGAAGGCAACCAATCGATGTGTCTTTCTCACATCGATGTTTCTCTCTCTCTTTCTCCTCCTCCCTTCCTCCTCCCTTCCACTCTCTCTAAAAATCAATGGAAAAAATATCATTGGGTGAAGATTAACAAACCAACCAACCAACCACAAACAAACAAAAATGTATAAACCATTCTTATATCGCAGAGCTAAGCCATTCTTAGCTTATACTTGGCCTGGAATATGCCAAGTATACTAGACCCTGATTCAGAGTCTAGTTTTTTTGTTGTTGTTTTTTGGGGGGGGGCAGGGGCGGGGGGGGAGGGAGTCTAGTGTTTTCCCAACTGTTTCCAAGGGGCGTGGTCAAACACTCGGGGGAAACGCTGGGTTAAGCAAAGCTGACCACCCGGCCTGCTCCTGCCCTCATGGGACTTCTCAGGTCAATATTCTCAGGAGCTGCACACGTTTCCCAGAGAGGCTGGCACAGGCCAGGCCTCTAATTTACTGACAATGAATCTCTTGTTCTGTGGAGTGTCTTGTAGACAAGCATTTCTCAGGGCTGGGTTCTGTGGAACGTGCTTTGGGAACCCTCTGCAGTCCACCCCTCATTTGATACATGGGGAAGCTGGACATACAGTCAGGCCCCGTGACTGCGCTCAAGCTCCTGACATGCCACTGCGCATCCCTGGTGCAATCAGGCCCCGTGACTGCATGATGCTCCCGACGTGCCGTTACTGCATCCTCTGGGGGAGCCCCAGCAGAGCAGCAGAGTCCGAAGCGAGTCCACAGGACACAGGTCCTTAGGTTCAGACCCAGCCATGCACACACAGAACCCGGCCAACATATATTGGTTGAGTGTTTGTCACCCTGGTTGCATGTCAGGAAATACCCCTAAAATTCCTGGCCCTGATCCATTGAAGAAGTACTTATAGGCTATCCTTAGCCTCTTGGCTACTGTCCCGTCATTAAAGGGCATAACTATGGCATGATTTGGACAGTAAGGAGGCTGGTGTACTCTACACAGCAATAATGTACTTCCACGTGCATAGACTTTACAAAGCACCTCTGTGTCATTTGCTCTTTACACCTGCCTCTGGGGGAAATAGGACAGTTTCCTTTTTTTTTTTTTCTTTTTTCAAATTTTCTAGATACAAAAGCTGAGGCTCAGGGTCCCTAGGAGACTTGCCCTTGGTCACCCAGGGACAAAGCCGGAACTCAGACCCAGGTCTCATCACCTCAGGGGCGACTTTCTCCTTGCCCCATTGTCTTCGAGTGAAGGGTGACTAGGCAATGAAGTAATTCTCTAGGAGAGCATGACCAATTTCCCTTTCTCCACCCCCCTCTTCTTCCTCCTCCCCCTGACCCAACCCCCATATATATATGAATCGTCGCAAAGCTGGCCTGCACACCTTTACGTTTGAAACGACTTCCACAGCCCGGACAGGAACCATCCACCCACAGTGACATCCTGACTGGTGAGTGGTGAGGGTGCCTCCCAACTTCCTCCCTCGGTAGCGGGAGCCAGACACCTCCAAACAGCGAACCTCAAGCATCGACTCCAGCCCGGAGGTGAGTGATGCGGGAATTCCTGAGTGCTTGGCTTTGAGCAGCTGACTGCCGCCTCCCTGGGAATGGGGGTTGGGATGGCGGTGCCAACTCTTTCACTGAGTATGGAAGGATAAGATCTAACCGTGGATGGGGTGCCGCCTCTTCTGATTTAACACCAAGAAGAATTTAGGCCGGATGGGAGGAAAAGCAGGAGGGGTATGAGGCCCAGAGATGAATTTTCCAGAGAGGCTTTGAAGTCTGTGGAGTTTGAGAGAACAGAATGGAGTTTGCGAAAGAGCCGAGGGCGATGCTGAAGCTCAGACTTGCGTGGCGGAGGATACTGGGCGCTGGTCTTGGGTCCCACTACCCTGCCCATATGTTGGCAGTCGTTCCAGTGACGGGTCTTCTCCCATCTTCCTGCCCAGCCGTGGGGTGGAAGACTGAGTTTCTTCAGGTGGGAGACCACTGCCTGGAATATGAAAGGTTCTTCAATAGTTGTGGAAGGAAGGAAGGAAGGAAGGAAGGAAGGAAGGAAGGAAGGAAGGAAGGAAGGGAAGAAGGAAGGAAGGAGGAAGGGAAGAAGGAAGGACAGAAAGGAGGGAGGAAAAGAGGGAGGGAGGAAAGGAAGAAGAAGAGCAAGGGGCAAAGAAGGGAGGGAGAAGGAATGTTCTGGGTACACGTATTGCACGTATGACAAATAGATAATGGTTCGCCTTTCTCTAGCTTGGGCCTCTTCATAGTCATTCCCAGTTGGCCCGCTAGTGAAAGTTTTCAAGGTGAGTCATCCAGAAATGCGATTCCTCCCTCCTGTTCAGTTGCCTAAAAAGCCAATTCTGAGGGTCAAAAGTGAGTCGTCAGCTGAGGTGGCAGAGTGAGAGTGTGCCAGGATTAATCCCTCAGCTCCCTCGCGATGAGGAGTCAGAGGTAGCCTGGAGTGAGAAAAAGACCTGCCCAGGTGTGCCTGGTGCCTGAGGGGCAGAACACAGACAAGCAAACACCTAGTTAAAGCTCTACCCTTGGGTTTGGGCTCCCTGTACATGTTCTTTGGCACATTGTAAACACCACCCACTGCCCCCTCCCCCTGCCCATTTCTTCACTCTTCTTGGTCAAATTCTGACTAGCAGGTTGTTGGCTAGTGAGAAGTGTATGGAGTAAGGAAGGGGGTGCCCAGTATGTGTGACGTGGATGGGAATGAGGGGGTGGGCAGATAGTGAGATAGTGAGACCAGCGGGTATGAGATGAGGGGCAGAAAGACCCTCATCCCACCTTGGGGCACCACATGTTTGCAATATTCTAACTCTAACAACCACCGTAGTCTCAGGTTTCCTATCTGTGTGTCAGGCTGGCGAGGCAGAGCCAAGGAGCGTTATTTCTGGGTGTACCGGTCCTGGGCCAGAAGGCCGACCTCAGCGGCCTGTCTCCCTTCCTCCCAGCAGCATCCTCCCCGTCCTTCCTCTGCTGCAGATGGGCTCTCCAATGCAGAAGACTGCCCTCCCCTGCCTGAGTCTCATCCTGCTTATCTGGAGCCAGGGTCCCGGGGCCCAAGGCCAAGAATTCCAATTTGGGCCCTGCCGCGTGGAGGGGGTAGTTTTCCAGGAACTGTGGGAGGCCTCCCGGGCAGTGAAGGACATTGTGGTGAGTGAAGTGTCCTTCTGGACCCAGCTGCTGGGGTGACTGTGGGGGGGAGGATAATAGTTTATGATTATGGAGCCCTTTGTACCTTGCTAATCATTACCCTGGAATAACATTGTGAAGTGAGAGACATCGCAAGCCCACATTTCCTCTTGCACATGGGGAAACTGAGGCTCAGAAAGACATGGTCAGTCCATAGGAAAATAGACAGCTCACGAGGAATAAAGAACAGAGCCTGTTCATCCAGGGGGACAGGAGACTCCAGCAATGGGAAGTCACGGGAAGTCCTTTGAGTCCCAACTCCTGGAGTTTTCACCTACTGTTTAGCCAGGATCCTGCTAGTCTACCACCACCTGCTTACACTTTGGCTAAAGCAGTGGTTCTCAACCTGTGGGTCGCTACCCCTTTGGGGGTCGAACGACCCTTTCACAGGTGTTGCCTAAGACCAGTGATGGCGAACCTTTTGAAAAACCCTAACTTAACTCTGGTGCCGTGTCACATATAGAAATTTTTTGATCTTTGCAACCATAGTAAAACAAAGATTTATATTTTTGATATTTATTTTATATATTTAAATGCCATTTAACAAAGAAAAATCAACCAAAAAAATGAGTTCGCGTGTCACCTCTGACACGCGTGTCATAGGTTCGCCATCACTGCCTAAGACCATCGGAAAACACATCTATAATTACATATTGTTTTTGTGATTCATCACTATGCTTTCATTATGTTCAATTTGTAACAATGAAATCGGGGGTCACCACAACATGAGGAACTGTATGAAAGGGTCGCGGCATTAGGAAGGTTGAGAACCACTGGGCTAAAGGTAGAAAGAATGCTTAATGCTGAGTGAGGGGGCTGCTGGTGAAATGTGACCGGATTTCTCCTGGGCCTGCGAGCACTCTGATACGTGCCCTCACAAATGCACTCACCTCCTTAAAGGACAATCCAGAGGCAAGGCAGAAAGTGGGCACTCAGTGGGGCAGCCTGGGAGGGGAGAGTGCTGCACTGGAGACAGGACCCGTGTGTGTGTGTGTGTGTGTGTGTGTGTGTGTGTGTGTGTGTGTGATCGTGACCTTGAAACCAGCCCATAAAGTACCCTCATCCCCATCAGTTTCCTTATTTGCACAATGAGGATGTGGGACAAAGGAGCTCAAAAGCTCCTTCCTCTCCATGATTCTTTGAATCTAAATCCAAGAACTGAAATGAATGAATGTCTGGGCTGCAGGGAAAGCCCCGTGGGTGAGAAAAGCAGGATTTCCCCAGGCTCTTGGAAAAGGGAGGTGAAATCTTGCCCTTAGGGGTTCTTAAACCAAATAGGGTTATTTCCTCTTGTCTCAGAGGAATCAAACAGGTTCCTGATCAAGGCTCTAGTAAGAACTCCTGGGATTGCATCTGCCCTTGGGGTTCAAGTTTAGTGATTGTCTGAGGCTGAAACCTGTATCTCCACCCCAGGGGCCAGCTCAGCCCAGCCCTTCCTGGGCACCCCCCTGGCCTCTGAGAACTCACAGGCTGGAGAGGTTTAGGGGCCTGGGGAGGCAGCATGCATTTGCACGGTTGGTTTCTATGCTGCCTCCGAACTGAGACATCTTTTCTTCCTGTTCCCACAGCAAGCTCAGGATAACATCATGAGTGTCCAGCTGCTGCGCAGGGAGGTTCTGCAGAACGTCTCGGTAATCACACCTCCTCGGGGAAGGAGCAGGGCTGGTCTTCTGTGGGTGGGGGTGAGGGGTTGTCTGGGGAGGCTGGCAGAAGACTTCCCTTCCGCCCCCGGCTGGGCCTACCCAGGACAGGGCTGGGCAGTGAGCCAAGGAAGTTCATGCACGGGGTTCCCACCCGGAACCTGGGTTATGTGGGCTTGCGTGTGACGGCAGGGGGCGAGGGTGGAGACAAAGGCTTGTAAACATCTGTCTCCACTTGGTCAGAGAGTGGCCATCAATCTTTCTCTTTTGCATCTGCTTGGGTCTCCTCCCATTTCCATCCGTTTCCTCTCACCCATCTCTGTCTTCTCGTCACCAGCTAGCCAGCCAGCGAGCACACAGATACTGCCCCGATCCCTAAGGCGCTGAGCTTTGCTCTGGGGCTCTCAAGGGGGCTGGAGTGCAAGCCCTGTGTTCAAGGATGCTGTTTTCTCTCCTCGTTTCTTCTCCTTCCAGTCCGTTTCCCAGCCAATTCACAACCTCCAAGTTTTGGGTGCTTTGCAGGGTCTATCACCCCACATGGCTATTAAGGAGGTCATGGGGGTGGAGAAGAGAGAATATTGAGCAGATGGTGGTGGTGGGGTGGGGGAGGGTCAGAAACTAGACCTGTGTGTGCCACTGACCAGCTGTGTGACCCTGGCAAGCCCTTCTCTCTGGGCCTGTGGTTCCTGCCAGAAACCAAAGGTGCCACTGCCCATGCTGGCGAAGGCTCCTTCACATGTAATGTTTAACAGCATCTCCTGGAAGAGCCCTGCTTCCTTTGTGCCTATCTTGCGTCGGCGACATGTGGGTTATTCATCCAGGGCTGGGGGGTGGGCAGAGGCCTCGGCTCCTCCATGACCCAGACCCTCCTCAGGGCGCTGAGAGCTGCTACCTCCTCCGTGCCCTGCTGAACTTCTACCTGAATACCGTGTTCAGAAACTACCACAAGAAGGCAGCTGAACTCAGGATCCTGAAGTCATTCTCCACCCTGGCCAACAATTTCATTGTCATCCTGTCGAAACTGCAGCCCAGCGTGAGTAGAACAAAGCTGGGACCAGGCACCATGGGAAACGGTGTGTTTGGAGGAGACTCTGCTCCCCTTAGCTCAGCGGTTCTCAACCTGTGGGTCGCGACCCCTTTGGCAGTCGGACGACCCTTTCACAGGGGTCGCCTAAGACCATCCTGCATATCAGATATTTACATGACGATTCATAACAGTAGCAACATTACAGTGATGAAGTAGCAACGAAAATAATTTTATGGTTGGGTCACAACCATGAGGAACTGTATTTAAAGGGCCAGAAGGTTGAGAACCACTGCCTTAGCTGGTCCTGGCTTTTACTCCACGACAGGGAGTCGTGAGAAAAGAGCACAGCAGGCTTTGGACACCAGCAGTTCTGGGTTCCAGTCTAGCTCTGCGTCTAGCCAGCTGGTTGGCCCTCTGCAGGTTTCTTAGGTATAAAACGGGATGATCGCCCCCACCTGGCAAGGCCGCTGTGGGAATTCGAGGCGGCCCTGCCACGTGGTGGGAGTCAGCCTTGGCTCCTTGAGGACGTGGACTCAGCGCTGTCCTCCAAGGCCCCGGGACCCTCCGGCATCACTAGGAAGGAGGGGGAGGGGGCTTGCCTCTGCCCCCACCCAACACCCGGCACAACTTTTTTCTGTTCTCCAGCAGGAAAATGAGATGTTTCCCATCCGAGAGAGTGCGCGCAGGCGGTTTCTGCTGTTCCAGGCAGCGTTTAAGCAGGTAAGCAGGGCTGGGAGCTCAGGGCTTGCTTGAGCTGTCGCAGTCAGATGCCTCAGAGACCTAAAGCTAAATGCAATGCAATCGCCTCCTCCAGGCTTGCCCCAAAGCCACCTGACTTAGCAGGAGCACAGCCGTGTTTACATGAATTAGCATGTACTTTGCATAAACACCACAAATGACACACTATATTTTCCTGCCAGTTTTCAAATGAAAATGCTATTCTCTTTCCCTAGGGGATGATTTCACTACTGAGCATTTTTCCTGGGCAATTGGAGTCGGGAGTGAGGGAGAGAGAAGGGAGACTGCCTTGTAACCCGCCCCCCCCCCCCCCACACACACACATCTCCATACATGGTATTTCCCATAATGCTCATCTAGCTTAATTTGTGAGGAAAAACATCAAGGGAAAATATATTACTTTCTCCCAAATTAATACAACAAAGAAATGCCAAATGTCATCCCCAGCTCCCCACCCCCAACATGTATGATTTTGATCACCCTTTAAAGGAACAGATACCTCAGCCCAAAAATAAATGAAGAGCAATACCACACAAAGGAAAAGGGCCACCCAGGCCTCAGTGTCGGCTACACAGTGGACTCAGGAGGTGGACCAGACCCACCCACACCGGGATTCTAGGGTTCTTGTTGGCAGGGGCCCCAGACGCTTTTCCCTGGCTCCTGACCCACCGCTCCCCACTGTTTTCAACCCCAAAGCGGGCAACACACATAGACGGGGGACAAGTGATGGGTGGGTGAGTTCCTCAGAGGCCATCCCACAGGGGCTGCCGCCCTGAGGTGGAGTCAGCCAGGTCTGGGAGGGGTGGGTCGGAAGGCAACTACGCTTGTGGCTGACATGGCCGATCTTCAACGCTTCTTCCCCTGCAGTTGGACATAGAAGCAGCGCAGACCAAAGCCTTTGGAGAAGTGGACATTCTCCTGACCTGGATGCAGAAATTCTACCAGCTCTAACTTCCCAGACCGGAACGCCCTCCTCGCCCTCCCTGTCATTTCCAGAGTGTCCCTCCCCGTGATGTTCCCACTCTGAACTGCGGGTCCCATTCTTGGTCCAGGCGTATCCCCAAAGACTTCATTCTTTAAGTGACCCTAACAACAGCCATGGAAGTCTCCCTCAGATGCTGTGAAGAAGCTACAAAGCAGGCTCCTATATTTATTACATCTCTATTTAATTCCTGTCAGTGTTTTATATATTTATATTTATATGTAAATATAAATATATATTTATTTGTTATATAAATATATAATCATATATTTAATATATATTAAATATATATAAATATATATTTATATAACATAACTATATTATGTTATATATTTATTTGTTTGACTATGATCTGTGAAGACACCAGAGACAATGCCCCATGCTTCTCTTTTATCCTCCATGATCCTTGGAACCATGTGGGGCAGTGACGGTGCTCAGTAAAGGCCTAATAAGCTGGATATTTTTGCCTGTTTTGAATGGTTGGGGAACAATGAGGGATGCTGGGATATATAGTCGAATGTTTGGGCATGACTATCCCATTGTCCTGACATCTCCAGGAACAGAGCCGTGGGGAAGGGGTGAGGGGCGCCAGTTTGAAATGTAAATGAGAAAAGATCCAATGTGTTAAGTGCCCAACACAAAGCAAGCTCATGAAACATTGCATTTTGTGCCCACACTCCCCACCCTACTCGCACCGTCCGTTACCCTTGGGTGCCCTCCTTTCTTATCCTACTCATGCTTCTTTTATCTGCCAAGGGAGAGGGTGCCAGGGGCAAGCTGACATTGCTGATGGTGTCACGGTAGCTGGGTGGACTCTCTGATCTGTGACGCAATTCCCTGCTAGTAAAAGGCAGGGAACTCAAGTCTGGCAGCCTTTCCTTTCTACTCTGGACAAGGGCCCAGTGAGGCTGAGTTGTGTGTCTGGGAAAGACCTTCTTCCCAACGGCAAGACTGGGCATTCTCTAGTCTCAGGCTCTGGCTTGTCTCTGCAGTTGACATCAGTCTAAAGATACAATGTCTGCCCAAGCCCTTGCGCAGAAGACTTAAGGGTATGAGTCGTGGAGGAGATGGGATGTCTTCCTCCGTGACTGAAGTGCTGTTGCAGAGCCCATGGCCCTCCACGACCCCAGGCCACTTTCCCTCCCCACCTTGCTGGGACCACTTGGAACTGGCCAAGAGATAAGGTGCATTTCTGAAAGCAGAGAGAGGTAACGGTTTGGATGGCTAAGATAGAGTCATGTTAGGATAAGAATGGAAGAAGGATAAGGAAGTGACACAAACAATTTTTAGAAGACTGTATATTCTGCAGCTTTGGGGTGAAATGTTCTATAAAAGTCAATTAAATCCATTTGATCCTGTGTGTCCTTTATTTTTTTAAAAATATATTTTATTGATTTTTTTACAGAGAGGAAGGGAGAGGGATAGAGAGTTAGAAACATCGATGAGAGAGAAACATCGATGAGCTGCCTCCTGCACACCCCTACTGGGGATGTGCCTGCAACCAAGGTACATGCCCTTGACTGGAATCGAACCCAGGACCCTTCAGTCCGCAGGCTGACGCTCTATCCACTGAGCCAAACCGGTCAGGGCCTGTGTGTCCTTTAGAGTGACTGTTTCCTTTGTTAATTTTTTGTCTGGAAGATCTATCCAGTGACGTCAGCGGTGTCAAAGTCTCCTACTATGACTGTATTGTTGTCAATCTCTCCCTTAAAGTCCTCTAGAAGTGACAAAAACTATATTTAACAGAGGGGAAATGCTAGGGTTAGGATCCTTATGAGCATCAAGGAAGGGAGACTTAAAGAAGATTTAGGGACACAGGGAACTATATATGGTTCTGAAAATTTAGAATCCTTCATCACATCAAAATTAATTACCCTGTCATAGGACACAAGATGAGTAAAGCTCACTAGTAAGTGCCACCCTTAATTAAGACCATGGCAAGATGTTGCCAGGGCCGTTTCATACCAGGCCCCTTCCTAGCTCACAGGGCTGAGGCATAACCTCACGTTACAGTCCAGGGATCTTCTACTGGTATGAGGCCCAGGCCTGGGAAGGGTTCCAGAAGCAACAGCTATGCCTGTGCTCCAGCCTGATGCCGCCTGGTCTAGAGCTGAGGCAGCAAAAACCCTGTGATCCAAGAGAGTCTGTAAATCCCACAGCCTGTTACAGGGCTTGAAAGGGAAGCAGGTGGCATCGGGACAAATGCCCTGCATGGCCAGAAGCCACCCGAAGGCCACAGGGGTTTGCAAAGGTGTGCAGAAGAGCCATGGGAACTGAGCTAGCTATGCTCAGGGCAATGAGGCAGAGACGGGATGGAAGGTGGGATGTGGGACGTCACGAGGGGCTCTAAAAGCAGACGAAGCGGGTGTTGGAAACCAGCAGACAAACCAGACTCATTGGCGCAGAGGCCTGGGCCCAGGGGGACAGCTGGAGGGGGGAGTCAGGCAGTAGATATTAACGTATTCGTCTGAATCAGCATCCTCCATCATGGCGGCAGGCTGGTGGTAAACGCTCATATATTCACAGCTGGTCTTCAGAGACGGCACGTGGGGCCAGGGAGCTTCCGACACCTGGGAAAACCAAGGAAGTATGACTGGTCTGGGTGGAGCGATTTTCTATTTCTCCTGCTGGATTCCCACAGTGGGCAACGGCAGGCATGCAAGTAGTTGCTGACTTCCCGAAGACAACGACGCAGAGGTGGCCGAGCTCCATCTAGCGGCTCCGCCCTGGGGATTTTGAGGGCAGCATCTCACCTGAGATAACTGGAAAACACTTAGGTCTAATGTGAGCAGGAAATGCCTTACATGGGGCTCCGACTACAGTCACGTGGCTAAGCACCCGTCTGGAGGAGACTTGGCTGCCAAAGGAGTTTCTCCTCTGGGATTGGAAGCTTTGATTGTGGAATGAATATACATCCTCAAGGGAGTTATTCAGAGGCAGGTGAGTCACCCTTGCGCCTCTGGAAGGCTCGGAGAGGCAGTGATGTGGCGTGACAGAGCATTCCAGGAAGGCGCTGGGTGGTGAAGGAGAGGAAGGCAGCAGGACCTGTGGGCACAGGGGCGCTCCTTTCCCCAGAATCACCTGCCTTCAGGATGGTCAGTTCTCGGGGGACGGGGCCGAACCATGACCCAAGAAGGCTGTGGTGGTGATGGGTCACATGTTTACTTATTTATTTATTTTAAATATATTTTTATTGATTTCAGAGAGGAAAAGAGCGAGAGAGAAAGAGAGAAAGATCAATGATAAGAGAGAATCATTGATCGGCTGCCTCCTGCACACCCCACACTGGGGATCAAGCCTGCAACCTGAGCATGTGCCCTTGAATGGAATCAAACCTGGGACCCTACAGACCCCAGGCCAACACTCAATCCACAGAGCCAAACCAGCTAGGGTATGGGTCACATGTTTAAACACAAGTGCTGAGAATTAGAAGTCCAGCTGCCTGAACACAGTAGGCACTCAGTAAGTGCTCATTGAAAGGACCTGTTACTTTTTGTACTTATCTCCCATTGCCTGTTATAATTTGCCATTTGAGATTAATTTATTTGTCTTTAAAAATTCAAATATTCCCTGTGAAGGCTACAATATTCAGTCATTAACCATGTGCACCTTGTTGAGAACTTGTTCCATCAAGATTTTTGTCCCTAATGGTAGAAATGAGAGTTTCAAGCAAGGAGGAAGGATAAAAGTTGAGCAAGCTGATGGGGTGAGGGTTGTATGGCCACAGGGCAGTTCTAGACAAAAGGGTGAGAATAAGGGTAGAGTGGGTAGAGTCTGGGCACTGCTGGGCCTGCCTAAGCTACCGTGAACCCTCTCCAGCAGGGGCGAGTGACTGCAAACTCAAGAAGCTGGAGGTGACTGGCAGAGCTGTCACTGGCTGCTGGACATCACTCTCCCCTTTTTAGCACATGATTGCCCAGCCAGCGACTACATTTCTCAGCCATCGATGGGGAGGAAGTGATGCGTCTTAAAGAAGCAGTGTTCTTTTCCTCCCTCTATGGGCTGGAATATGGCTATTGAGCACTGACCATGGTCCAAGCAAGAAGCCAGGGGTGGGGGACCAACAAGACAGAAGGTGTTTTAGTCCCTGGACGGAACTCCTGCCCTTACTTGGGAGGAAACAGGTTTCCATCTTGTGAGCCCTCTGGTTTAAGGTCCGTTGCTTTAGATTAGTCTACACCAGGGGTTCTCAACCTGTGGGTCGCGACCCCTTTGGGGGTCGAACGGCCCTTTCACAGGGGTCGCCTAAGACCATCGGAAAACACATATAGAATTACATATTGTTTTTTGATTAATCACTATGTCTTAATTATGTTCAATTTGTAACAATGAAATCGGGGGTCACCACAACATGAGGAACTGTATTAAAGGGTCGCGGCATTAGGAAGGTTGAGAACCACTGGTCTACACCCTAATTTAAAAAAAGACTTTGGCCACCCTAGCCAGTTTGGCTCAGTGGATAGACCCTCCCTATCACTGAAGGGTCCCAGGTTCAATTCTGGTCAGGGGCATGTACCTTGGTTGTGGGCACATCCCAGTAGGGGGTGTACAGGAGGCAGCTGGTCGATGTTTCTTCCCTCTCCCTTCCTCTCTGTAAAAAAAAAAATCAATAAAATATATTTTAAAAATAAAAGAAGACTTTGGCCATGCTTCGTTTTTCCTGGTCCCTAAGCAAATAGTGTTTTAGCTACTGTGGGCTACTTTAGAGAATAAAGTCTTTTCCTCCCTAACTTTGGGAAAACAAAGATGAGTCGATAGTTTGCCCATGTGCCAATGGCCAGGGACAGAAACCCGAGTTCCTACGTCCATTCCTAGATTTCAAGAGGGACCCCCCCCCTCACCCCAGGTGTTGAGTCCTCTCTACATCTCGCCAGCAGCCAGGTCACCCTCGGGGCTTCACTGCCTCCAGGGATGGGTAAACGAACTCCTCTCAGCTTGGAGAGCCCACTTGGAAGTTCTCCTTCATATTAAGGTGAAAGTGTGCACTTCCACCCCCTTCAGGCCTCCTAGAAATCGGATCTCTCCCCCCGAGAGCCCCTCGTGTGCTGGATTACCACCCATCAGCCTCTACTTAGCACCCACGGAAATGCTTGGCTAAAAGCCAGGTAACTAAGTCTACCCCGTCCACGGGCAGGCCCTGCGCGGGCTCTGAGACTAGTTCCCGGACTCCGAGCGGGAGCAGCTGGGAAAGCCCAGCCCGGGAGCTACACGTGGCTGGGGCCCTGGCGCTCGGTCCGCGCCCAGCTCTGGGACCGCCCCGTCGGGCCACCGCGGCTGTTCTTACCTGGGCCGGGGCAGGGCGCGCCTGCGGCGGGGCGGGCGGCGCCGACGCTCCGGGGCCGAGGGTTGGTGCCTCCAGGTCACCTGGGGGAAGGAACCGGAGGCCGGGATGAGGGCGTGGCCGGGGGTCGTGGCCGGGAGGGGGGGGGGGGTCGGGCCCCACCCTAGCTCTGCGACCAGCCCAGGGGAGGGGAGCCGGCCCTGCGCCCCTGGCTTCCTCCAGCCCTCCTGGCGCGCCCTCGGC